TCCGCCCGCAGCAGCTGCGAGATCAGCTCCGACACCGGCTGCCCGTTGAAGTATTCCCCGCTGGGCAGGGTGTTGGGGCTGGTGCTGGAGTGGGTGGGGGGGATCCGGCCCCGCTGCACGGCTGGAAGGCAGAGAGTCACAGGGTCACGCGCTGGGGTGGGTGGGAAGGGAGATGAAAGACCCTTTAGTTCCAACCCCGAGGTTTTGCTTTGGCTTCCTCCTCCCTGAGCCTTTGCTGAGCTTGAGCCTCTTGTTAATAAGCACAAATCTGGACAAACCAGCAAGAGACATGGAAGGTCACGGAATCCCAGACTCATTCAGGCTGGAACGGACCTTAAAGATCATCTAGACCCACAAACAGGGACACCTCCCACCAGCCCAGGCTGCTCCAGGCCCCATCCAACCTGCCCTCCAACACTGCCAGGGATGGGGCAGCCACAGCTTCCCTGGGCAACCTGGGCCAGGGTCTCAACACCCTCAGAATGAAGAATTTCTTCCCAATATCCCAACCATATTCTCCCCTCTTGCAGCTTAAAGCCATCCCCCCTTGCCCTATTGCTCCATGCCCTTTCCTGCAGGCAGGGGAGATGCCTGCCTGCTGCTGCATCCTCGCTCCTGAGGGGCACATGGAGGCCCCTCTGACCCATGCAGGGCAAGGAAGGATGGGGGTGCTCCCATGACTGCCCTTGCATCCCTGGATCCCACCAACCCAGGGAACAATGGCTGGATTCCAGGTGCTTGGGAAGAGGGAGGTGGTGGGGACCACCAGAGCGACCGAGCATCCCAGTGATTCACCAGCAGCTCCCAGGGACTTTGGCCACAGCCTCTGACCACCAGCTGGACTGGGACCGTGTCTGTGCCACCTCCTCCTCAGCCAGGACCCGGCCAGCCCAGCACCACGGCTGCCACAGAGCAGGCCCAGCACCAGCCAAGGTCACTGCATCATTTATTTGCAAATAAAACGTCCATATTGGAAGCGTCGTTAACCCTGGGGCTCTCCCCCTCCTAATTGCATTCAGGGAGGGCCATTTTTCAGCTCTCAGGGGGGGCCCTTTTTCAGCCC